GCATATTTGGTTGCACAGATGTTTATATTTCATCACTGACTTTGTAAGAAAGGGTAGAATCACCTTGTGCTCAGTTCATACAAGCATGCATAGAGTTGACCTTGAGCAGATCCAGGGCATGCATTTCCTCTGTGCTGGGGTCTTGCAACTGCATATAGACAAGGCAAAGTGCTCCAGTTCAGTCATGTCTTGGTAGCTTATATCATCTTAGAATCAAGGAAGGAGTATTTGTTACCAGTTGTCTCCTTCCAGGCACATGTTTCTGCTTTCTGCCATGTTGCTCTATGTAGCCTTCCCCTTCCCTCACCACCTCCTTCACATTTGCCCTCAAGGCTCAGTTCTCTTACCAAACTTGTCCTCAGCACCACTGGCACACCTTACTAGTATTTCATTGACACCTGATTGTGACTCATCATCCTCTGGCCTTGTTTCTCCCTGGTTTGCCTAAAGTAGGTTGTTGTAAGCCAGGCTTCCTCAAACTCGGCCCTCCAGATGTTTTGAGACTACAATTCCCATCATCCCTGACCACTGGTCCTTCTAGCTAGGGATCATGGGAGTTGTAGGCCAAAAACATCTGGAGGGCTGAGTTTGAGGAAGCCTGTTGTAAGCCCTCTGCACAGAAATGGGACCACATTTATGTGCTGTATGATACTTGCTGCAAGACTGGCATTAAAGAGATGCTAAATGCTGCTTCTATTCAGCAGCAGTCATAAGAGTAATGGAATTCAGGATGATGGTGTGGCTGGAGCGCTGCAGAGTTCAAGACCCATCGGGAAGGGAAGTTGGTAACTGTATATTGTACAATGCATATGCAAGAAAGAACGTTTCGTGGCATCCCAGAAGCAGTGAGAGGGGGCAATTTGTAGGGGAGGCATGAGATGGTGGTGAGGGTGTGTTAACCTATCCACTGCCTGCCTGCTTGGTTAGGCTCCCTTGAAACCCAACCAGCCACAGCTGCTTTCCCTCCTCCTGGGTAGTTTCAGGTGCACATTTAGAAGCTGGATGGGGGAGTACTTTGAGGAGAAGTTTCAGGCATTCAGTTCATTGTATTGCACTTCAAGCAAAAGCAAAAAGTTTATGCTGTGCTGATGAGGCCTTACAGTGCAGTCCAACCCCCCTTTGTTCTGGGCCAGAGTGGGTTTACATGAATTGGGCGGGGGAAGCATTGAAACAGTGACACCCTGCCTCTTCTCCTATCCTGATTATCCCCTTAGCACACTGATCTGCAGAAAAGCCAGAGGGGGTGGGGTGGATAATGTCTACAGGTAATATATTGCTAGGCCCTGTTTCCGTAAGTGTTTTTTTTTAGGGAGCTTGGTAGGTAGCTAAATCTTAAGCACATTTACTTAGAAGTAAGTCTCATTGATTCTCCATGGGGCTTACTTTCAAGTATTTAATTTTTAACTCAAGATCTATGTACAATGGGGATGAGATCTTCACCATTTGAAGATGAGGGCACCAGAGGGCACTCAGATACTGTGTAAGAACGATTCCAAATACTGATGCTCCCTTTGTGTCAAGCTTGAGGTCTAGTAATCCGAGTGCCCTTGAGGGCCTTGTGGTAGATGGATACGGTCAATCTGGCCTTCTGATATCCTTGTCCTAAACCCAAATAAATTGCCTTTAGCACTGAAGCAAAGAAACAGGAATGTGTGTATAAGTATGTGTTTTGCACCATTTTGTATCAGGTTGGCTGCTCTCCTGAATACTCAAGAAGCCTCCTTCTGCAGTTGAGGTGTTTCTTTCCAGTGTGGATGATAGATAACGGTATTTAGAAATGGGTGTTCTGTGGCCAAAGCATACCTTAGTCTGCCACCTAGTGTTTACTTTGGTTTTCTGTTAGGTTACATGATATAACACCCCCCCACCCCCGTGTTAGGGTTTTCAAAAAATAAAAATAAAAGAAATGTGTACGTTATGTTGCTCTAACAATAGTTTTTGCACTAGTGGGTTACTGGTGGTGAGGCTTAAGGGGATCTCCTCCCTGCTCCTGCACATTTTTCTCAGGCAAAAGCACAACACCAAATCTGTACAGTACTTCATTTTAACTTTTCCTGGCAGCTAGCTATACCATTTTTATTTTCAACATTCAGTTGTGAAGATTGGCAGGTAGAACTGATAGGAGCTGAATGAGCTAGCAGTCCCTAGTACCCTGCTACCTAAGTCCTCTCATCCAACCCCCAAAGGCCAAACTGTTCAGAAGCAAGGGTGTTTTGCAGTGACGTCTTCAGCGTGCATCCCATGCACTTGAGGAGAAGCCTCATTGGACTCAGTGGAATTTCCATACAAGCCAAACATACACAGACAGAGCTAGACAACTTTCGAAACCATAGGAGTGCAGGAATAGTTGAAACAACTCAGAACCTATATATTTCACTTCTTATGCATTTTAAAGTCACTTGCGTGTTAATCATGACAAAATAGGTTCCCAGCTTCGTGTTTTTTTTAACAAAGGAGATCTTTGGAACAATCCAAATCGTGGTGGGGTAGAGCTGTGCATCCACTGCTGAATCCAAAGGTCTTCTGCTCTCTCTGTCCAAGGGGAAGGAGGGATGTATTCCCCTCTTTTTTCTTTTCTTTTTGCTGCACCAGCTCCATATTGACTTAGCTGACAAGCCCAATGATTGGACCCTTGGGTATTCACAAAGCTTTGGATCCAGTAGATGTAAATCCACTAGTGTACTATCTGGGTACACTCCATTGTCAGGGCTCCTTGTTCTCACTAGAATAAAGCTTGGGCCTCTGTGATGGCATGCCATCCACCCACGCTTCTCTTGAAGGAGACCGGTGGGGAGACTGCATGCATCCCACATGTACCCCTACCCTTCCACCATCATTGTAATGGGAGGGTTTAGGATTGCTGTCAATCTGTTTCATAATCTTCCCTTGATTGGATGGGATTGGAGACTCATTACCACCATCCCCTTTTCAGAGTTTCAAGTCCCCTGTGTGACTGGACTGCTCCCTATAGACTTCATTGAAGTCTCACTCTAGAAATGAGGCAGGCTCATTTTGTTTTTAAAGTAGTACATTGCTTAAAGACATTAATTAAAAGAGGAATGTTGGATCTGGAACTTCTCAGCTAATGAACTTGTGCTCTGGTGTTTACTGTCCTGGTAGATTTTGGTCCATTAATGGAAAGAACAGCTTTGAAGCTGGATTTCATTTACAGCCTGATGCAGTCCATGTTTAACCAAAAGGAAGTTCAGCTCAGTTCAATAAGACTTATTCCCATACATGATTAATGAAAAGTATTATTATTATTATTATTATTATTATTATTATTATTATTTGACTGGTTTCAGTGCATTCAGTAGGCCTTATAAGTAGCCTTAACCTATGAGTTTGTTTAATTAAAACATGCAGACCTGAGGTTAATTGAAAAGATTTTCTGCTTGAAGTCCTCCTCACCTGCTTCTCTGCTTTCTTGCAGGAAGGTTTTCTTCACCGACTATGGACAGATACCGAAGGTGGAGCGCTGTGACATGGATGGGCAGAACCGCACAAAACTGGTTGACGCCAAGATTGTCTTCCCCCATGGTATCACCTTGGACTTGGTCAACCGGCTGGTTTATTGGGCAGATGCCTATCTTGACTACATCGAAGTGGTGGATTATGAAGGAAAGAACCGGCACACTATCATTCAGGGCATCCTGGTGAGTTCTCCTCTGGAGATCCTGCAGCAGGAGTTATGGAGTCCCTTGGAACGATGGGATGGTTAAGCCCATCTCTGGTTCCTTCTGGTGCACTGCTGTCTTTGTGAATATCAATATCACTAACGGCTGTGCTTCTAACTTATCCTTCAACTTACGTTGAGAGATACCTAAATGTAGCAATCTAACTGCAGGCTTAAGCAAACTTTTTTAAAATTAAAGAGATATTAATTAAAACTTTTTAAATTAAAAATTAATTAAAATTATTAATTATTAATTAAAACTTTTTAAAAATTAAAGAGAATTAAAGGCCTGGGTTGTGAGCTGGAAGTTCTGAGTTCCTTAAACAAGATGACAGCACTGATGTTCAGCACAGTGACATTTGCTGCATAGAAACAAAGTGATGTCAGGATTGTAAGCAATGTGGATGAGTCACAAGAATTCTAAGAGATCTGAAGGCCATTGGACATGCTCTGCCAGCTGAAAGCACAGAGCAGCCTTCCTCCAACCTGGTGCCCTCTATATGTTCTGAACTGCAATTCCCTTCAGCCTCAGTGAGCATGGCTAATGATCAGGGATGATGGGAGTTGGAACTCCCTGCCTATTGAGATCAAGAGATTCATTGCACCCTTTCAGCACCTGCTAAAAACATTCTTGTTTAGACAAGCCGATCCAGGTGCTTAGAAAGCTGAGGTAATTTGAATCTGTTTTAGTATTTTAACTTTTTTATGGTTGTGCTCCCCCCCCGATGTTATTGTTTTATCCTTTTGTAAACTGCTTTGTGTGTTTTTTTAAACAATCAAGCGGCGTTTAAATTTTATGAACTAAATAATAAATATATAAATAGTTGAGCAACCTCTGCGCAGCACCAGCTTGGGGGAAGGCAGGCATAAATTCAGAGCCATAGTGTGCCATAATTGGAGAGCAGGTACAGCGAAGAAGGGGACCAGAAGGGGAAGGCCTTCAGATGTGTAAGCTGCAAAATAAAAAGCAAAGTGATCCACACACACAAAAATCACATTTGTGCCCTCTAGATAGAGCATCTCTATGGCCTGACCGTCTTTGAAAACTACCTGTATGCCACCAACTCAGACAATGCGAATGCTCAGCAGAAAACCAGCGTCATCCGTGTTAATCGATTCAACAGCAGTGACTTCCAAGTGGTGACCCGGGTGGATAAGGGTGGAGCTCTTCATGTCTACCACCAGCGACGTCAGCCCACAGGTATACGGGGAGTGGTTTTGGGTAGCGTTTGGAGGGAAAGAAGTGGGATGTCCTGGGGCTGAGGACCAGTTGAAGTGCCCAGCAAAACTGTTGTTGGTTTGCTTTGTTGTATCACCTTGATGTTTGGTGGTGGAGGTCTGTGTTCATTGTGAAATAAGGTAATTCTCTTTGGGAATGGTGCCAAAATAACACACACACACACACACACACACACACACACACACCTCAGCAGTGCTATGTGCATAATTAAAAGTCATTCACGATGTCACACAAGACTCCATCTAGAAATATCTACATTACATTCTAACCAGAGGACTTAGTCCACTCTGTGCATCCCATTCATTGCTTCTGTATCTATTCTTCTGCCACAACTACCATCAGTATGGCATCAGATTGAGTAATCAGTTTATTCTTGCATTCCATGTCCTGCTCACTTAGCATCACAGAGAGTGGTCCAGCCATCCTTCCTGCATTCTATTTTATCATCCATATCTGGTCAGCCCATTCTTGAGGCCAGTTTTTTAATTATCCACATAGCATTGGTCTGCCTAGTCTCTCTGCCTTGGTCATATATCATCAGATTGATTGAACTGCCCACCCTCCTGCCGTGGTCGGTTGTATAGGTGGTTCATTTTTATCAGGACTCTACTGAATGGCAACAAAGGAATGTCTTGCCACCCTGCTTTCTCATTATTTTCATGTATGAGCAACAAAGGTCCATGAGGTTGTTTTTAGCAACAGGTTCAGAACAGTGTGCCATTCTGCAATACTGCCTTATCTGCAGGCAACTACTTAATGATCATTTAGAAGGTGATGTATTCACACATACTTTCCCTCTCTCAGGATGGGAAAGGTTGTCCAGTGGCGTAATCTGCTCAATTATAAACCAGGTTTGAAAGATTATCTATATAGAACTGATTGGTTTAATTTGAGAATAGAGCTTAACACTTGTTAGATTTCATCTAGTGCCATCTGTGGTATCAGAGGGTAGGTTGTTTAAGATTCCGTACAGTTCTTAGCTTTGTCACTGCCAGATGCAGAAAGAGGATCTTCCTCACTGTTTATTTGATTGCCAATTGTCTCAAGCTAGAGTAAAAATATCCTGCTGATATGTTAAAGAAAAGCACTAATTGGTCTGACCTCCAAAAGTTAGGGGGTTTTGCTTTTTAGGAATGGCTTCAGGATAACAAATAAAGCTGCTACATTTTTAATTATGTTAGCTGTGCCATGGGTGGATTCTGTTAAGTGCTGGAGGAGGAGGAGAGGGGAACACACAAGTCTGAGGCTTGCTGCAGCTCAATCTGTTCAGTGATCTGCCCACCTTGTGTGCATTATACCAGGAGAAAACAGGATGACAGAGCATTCCAGACTGATTAGTGCTTGAGCCCTAAAACAGGACAAGGGAGAGAGGTGTTAAGGCTATCTTTCTTGCTAAAATGTTTTTATTGCCAGTAGAAATTTTATTGTTGGAAGTGGGAAATTCTGACCGAAACTGACTATTTATTCTGACTATTTATTTGGTTTCTGCATAGAAAGGTGGTACATTGCTGTCCTTTGCATTTCATGCACATGCACATATTTACTTACATCAGCATCTGATGAAGTGGACTTTAGCTCATGAAGACTTATGCCACAATAAAGGGCAGTTCTGAACACATATACTAGGGGGTAAGCCCCACTGGAAATAATGGAACTTGCTTCTAAATAGACATGAAAATACAGTATTTGCATTGTACTGTGGCACCCTCGCACCTCTTTCCCTGGCTCAGGCTGGCAGCAGCCACGGCATGCAGAGCAGCCCGAGCTGCCCAAGCCTCCCCCCAACCCCAAACCCGGACATTTCCTTTAAAATGTAAACATCCGCCCAGATGGGCATGTTAGCTCCCCCCCCACCCCGGACATGTCTGGGTTTCCCCGGATGTATGGCAACTTTATCTAATCAAACCATGAGTGAAAGCTAAGGTTTGTTCCTAGCTTATCAGTAATGGTTTGCTTGGGAGAAACAAACCACATGTGCTGGTTTGCACATAATTCTAAACCAAGATATGTGGTTTGCTTCACGTTGCTTCAGGCATAATTAAAACAATTACAATCAAAACAACCACACCTCTGGTATTTATAGCTCTGAGCAATGAATAATGGGGGTAAGCCCTTATCCTTCCACTCAACAGCCATAGACTTTTATGAGTTGTACACACATCTCTTCTTGTTCTGGTTTCACAAGAAGGTTGGCAGTGGCTGGTATTTTTCCTGCTGCCTCCCACCAGGTGCTTCAAGAATGCTAATTAGTTGGTATATTAAAGGGTCATTTTGCATTATTTCCCTTTGGATTTAAATGGTTGTTAGTTCAGCTTAGCTGTTGTTTCCAGTTAGCGGCAGCAGGAACACATGATGTAGGTCTTAAAAGGTTTAGCAGCAACTTCACCCAAGGACGATTAAGCACCTCCTTCACCCTAGCAGATCTAATGCGAAGTGTTACTGCTCACCAAAAATGCATAGGATTCTCTGCTTACCAAGAGCCCAAGCATGTAAATGCCCACCTTTCTGCCTGGCCTCATTGGTTGTACTCTCATAGCTGCTTTTCCAAGTCCCCCTTTCTGGGTCTTGCACATGTCCCTCACACTCATTCTTCTCTATACAACTGTTGGCCTAGCCCCTTTTTGCCCTTCTAACTGCCTGTTTGTTCACGGCACCTGCTCTCATATATCTTTGCACCCAAAGTTTTGTTTGAATTCCTCCCAAGCAGTTGCCCTTTCAGTGAGCTGCTGTCATGTAGTGGCAAAGAGAAGGAACTTTACAGTATAGAACCTCATGTTAGAATGTCACCTCTGCCATGAACTCCCCAGGTGGCTTTAGCTCGGTCATCCTGCATCAGCTTCAGTCACCCCATCTGCACTTTGGGGATAATAATGTTCACCTAGCTTGCAAGAATGTTTTAAGAATCACAACAAAATAATGGTCTGGATCTAGACTGAGCGGGAAATCTACATAGTGCTAAGTCACCACAAGGCTTTCTGCTTGTGCAACAGAGTGTTCTCCCCCTGTGTGCCCCCTAAATCTATTCTTGTGACTCAACTCTACAGAGCAGATTTGGGGAGGGTGCAGGGTGCATGCAGCGGATGGAGATGGGGAGGGAGTCCAGTTGCGCAAGGAGAAACCCTGCCCCTGATGGAATGATGGTGACAAGAACTATCTATCATCTACCTACCTACCACCTATCATCCATCTATCTATCATCTATCTATCCAACCAACCAACCAACCAACCAACCAACTCATCTGACTGGGTTGTCCCAGCCACTCTGGGCAGCTTCCAGCAAATTAAAACAACAATTTAAAAAATTAGGGCTCAGTTCCAGCTGATTTTATTTCCTTGGGGGGGGGGGAGTATTATTTACAGAAAGTATATTGACAATCTGACAGACAGTGAACTGGCATAATTAGTGATAGGTTAGTTGAATACTGACCTAAGCTGTTTGAACTTAATTGGTTGGACTTAAGTCATGAGGACTAACTCATGCCATTGTTTCTATGGATCTAGTTAGTCTGGATCTAACTCAATTCACATGAAATCCTTTGAACACCTGAAAGCAAATGCTTCTTTATTTATCTACTGTGTTTATACACTTAACTCTTGTTAGTGCTTCTTCATGACCCAGCTCAGCGCTGCCCAGTGCAAAAAATGGCAGACCCTCTTCTTGTGCTTTGTCCAGCGGCTGCTTGCCTGCTATTGTTGTTAAGATGCCCAGAGTGCCTCTCTCTAGTACAGGTCAATCCAAACTAGGGGAGAAGGTGGGGAGGACATCTGGAGGGAATACAACATGCTGCCTGCTTATGATATCAGGCAGTGGTTTCCTTTGTACTACAGTGTTCAGATCTGTGACAAACCCATGCTTCCCAAAACTAGAGGTGAAAGGTTTTGAGTGTGACAGCCTCTGAATGGATCATGGGAGCAGTTTTTGGACTTCTCACAGGCATCTGGTTGTCCGCTGTGAGAACAGGAAGCTGGACTAGATAGGCCACTGGCCTGATCCAACAGGGTTCTTTTTATGTTCTTAGTCTTACACACAGCATTTGTATATTAAGGCAGTGACCGTTTCGCATGGAAGGTTCCGGTCCCAGGCCTCATGCATAAGTGTGCTGTGCCCCATTAACACCCTGCCCTGCCCCCATTATGCCCTCCATTCTGCCCTCTTCTGGGTCCGAAAGGACCTGCGCGTCAGCGATTGTGCATCAACTGGACGCGCTTAAAATGGTTACCTCCTATATACACCCAATAATGTAAAAGTGTTACTATGACAAACAGGTGTTCAGAAATACATTTGTCATACAGGTACACTAATCACAGTTGGGTTTGGCCTCAGCTTCCTACAAACCAACCTTTGGAGGGCCCTTGCTTAACAGAGAAGGGCCATTCAGACCAGCATGCCATTTTGTGTGTGTGAAGAATTAAGATACTTTGTGCATTGTGCTAGCGTGCAGAACAGCAATATAAGCTTGCCTGGAAGCTGACCACATCTTGTCTGAAACCTCGGTGGTGTGTGTGTGTTCTAGCTCCCCCCCCCCCCCGCCTGCTTCAGCAGCACTTCAGTTCAGCTTCCTCCAGCTCCTGTTACAGATGGTTGTCATGTTCTCTCAGAAGTGTGTGCACTGGTTGCAAAGAGCCTCATGTATCACTTTTAATTCAGGTTAACTTACTGGAAATTACTTCTAGTCTGTCCAGCATTTGAGTATTGGCTGTTTCTGACCTCAAATCTAATCACCCAGTCTATGCTAAAACCTGATAACATTAGCTGTGCCCCAAGTGGGCCCTCTTGAACATTTGGTTATCTCCCAGCAGCTCTTTCACACACACACACACACACACACACACACACAGATCTCAAAAGCGGTTTCCAGAGAGAACTCTGCAGCATATGATTGATTGGTTGATTGATTACTGCCCTGCAGAAAAGGAAAGAATTAAGCAGATGTGGCATCTTGAAATATTAATGGCTTCCTCCAAGGGCTGTTCTTGCTTCTTCCCCAGAGCAGATATATTTGACTAGGTCACAGTGCTCCCAGGAAAATCCTTGAACGGTGGCTGAAACTTTTTCTGGCGCTCAGTGGTGTGCTTCATTCTCTCCCCTCCCCATCAATCAGCATCCTGCACTCTTCCGCCTCTCCCCCCAAAGCCCTTCCATTCATTGTACTTAATCAGTTTGCGTGTTGAAAATCCTCTTAGAGCCTTCGGTTGGCTGCTTAGGATTCACTGAACCATTAAGCTAATTGGCAGATTTCAGGGAGGGAAGTTTCTGTATCATCTGGGATG